TAGGCCATCACTTAATATTATTACTTGATTCTTGGAGTCGTCATTGTGACAAAGTTATAGAAGAAACGATGCCACAAAATAAAATTATTAACATATAAAAAATTCCAACTGGAACCACAGGAAAAATACAACCACTTGAGGTCAATGGATTCCGTATTTGGAAAAACTTTGTCCGAACATTTTCTGATAATGTAATGTTAATGGATCATGATATGAATTTACATGTGAGAAATAATATAATTAAACTTCAATCATTGGTTCACAACCAACTGTCTTCACCGAGATATATAGATTTCTTTAAATATTCTTGGTATAAACCGCTTTTATACCAAGAATATTCAAACAAATCTAGTTACATCAATGAAAAACCAGATAAATTTGATAATCCTATAAATTTCAGTTTTGGAAAGTCTTGTGCAACACATTGTGAAATAGAAGGGTGCACAAACATTGCAATTGTACGATGTGGTTGGTGCAAAAAAGTATTGTGCTTTAAACACCTTTATGAGAACTACCATTATTGTAAAAACTTCGTAAAATAATATATTTTATGCTCAATATAAAAAATGTACTATGACAAAAAATACAAGATTGTAGATTATTATTATTATACTCTAATATTATAAACAAAAATACATCATAAGTTAAATTTATAATAAAGGAATTTCAATAACATTCTGATAACAATTTCTACGGAAATTATAAAACTGCTTCATACACAGAATTTACTTGTTTACAAATTTAGGAATTTGAGGTGGTTTGGTTAAAAAGCACAGGCATCTAGCATGTTTGTTGTTTAGGGGTTTAGAGTTTAAGGCTCTTCAGTTCACATGTACAGGCTACAAAGATCACACCTTTGTAAACAAGTTTTTATGAAAGTTAACATTTTTTTTCGACATTTTCATCCACCACATTGGATTCGCCATTTTGAATTTTCAAAATCTGATATCAGATTTGTAAAGAGCGATCTCGAAAACCCCTATATACAAACCTGCTACAAAATTTTATGGATTGAAGTATACTTATTTTGTGTTAGGGGTGGTTTACCCCCCTTTAGGGGTAGTATCTATGAAAAAACCGAAAAACTTAATTTGTTTATTATAGATGTTTACAAATTTCTTCCAATTTTCTTAGTCATTTAAAATTTTTTTATTATATAATGAAATATTATGCATTGAATTACATATTTACGATTATTTTGTGTTAGGGGTGGTTTACCCCCCTTAGGGGTAATATTTATTAAAACACGGAAAGTCGTCAACTAAATTTTGTAATTGTGGATGTTTAAACATTTTTTTCAATTTTTTTAGTCGGTTTAAACTTTTTTATTATAAAATTATGCCAAAAAATATATGTTTTCAACCCCTAAAAATAGAGGATGCTACCCTTACTCTTCAATTCACCATGAAATACTTGCTGCTTTTGTAAGAAATAACCTCCAAATTGTTTCACTGAAAAATATTAATTTTAAGCCGAGATATTAAAAAAAACGCTTTTTGGGGGTTAACTTTAAGGGAGGTTTTTATCCCATAAAAGTGAAAATTAGCTGATAAAAAAAATACGTGTCTCTTATTTTTTTATGTTCTACAATATGTATCGAAATCATTAAATTTGGTGAGTTCGGGTTGGGTACCTCTTCTTGTCAGTTCTGCTGTTACCTAATTTATAAGTATTTGCGTACATGAGCACTTACGTTTGGTTTTCCTCTTATGGTGGCAGAAGGAGAGGAAGGAAAAGCCAAGTGCAAACACGTGCTAGCTCCGCTCATTCCAAGCGCATGACGGAAATAGATAAATAGATATATCTTTTAGTGGCCTTCTAGTAAAAGTACAAATAAATTCTTTAATAATATATAGCACATAATTTGGTCAAGAACCGACTATAATATTATTACAAAATATTGGATAGAGATTCTCTCAATCGGTAACAAATACGACTTTTCAATCGACCCTCGTAATTAAAAGTCATGAAGATAAGTCAAACGCAAAAATAGAGAAATTTAAGTCTAATCTAAAGTATTTAACTCTCTCACTGTTCATCAAGACTAGTAACATTTATTTTAATCTACAGAGAAAGAAGTAATGCAATCAGTAATAGTATAAAATACGAGAGTGGATCAATAAGTCCTTAAAAAATCCAAGAGATGGTGCTCAAAGAATCCCAACTTATATTGCACCAGTACGAGGGTCGTTTGAAAAGTCCGTGAAAAGTAAGAGAGATGGCGCTACTAGTGCGTATCAAGGTTATTTTTAGTTACTGGCATATCTTGGAAGAGTACACACCAAGTTTCAGCCAGATCGGTCAATTACTTTGCGTTTTACATTCGTTTCAATCAAAGAAATCGAATGATTGTAAAAAAATGGACGAAAAAGAATTTCGTGTATTGATTAAACATTACTTTTTCAAAAGCAAAACGCCTCAGGAGATTAAACAGAAGATTGATAAACATTATGGTGATTGTGCACCTTCGATTAGAATGGTTTATAAGTGGTTTCAAAATTTTCGGAGTGGTCATATGAGCACAAAAAACGCTGAACGTTCTGGACACCCTGTTGAGGTTACCACTTCAGAAATCATTGATAAAATCCATGATATCATGATGGCTGACAGAAGAGTGAAGGTGCGTGAGATTGCTAGTACTGTAGGCATCTCGAGCGAACGGGTATATAATATTTTGCACCAACATTTGGACATGAAAAAGCTATCCGATAAATGGGTGCCGCGATTGCTCACGATTGACCAAAAACGAGATCGTGTGAAGTGTTGTAATAATGGTTTGCAGCTGTTCCAGCAAAATCCGCAAGACTTTAAGCGTCGTTTCATTACTGTAGATAAAACATGGATACATCACTACACTCCTGAGACCAAAGAACAGTCTAAACAATGGTTTACCAAGGGGGAATCTGCTCCGAAAAAGGCGAAGACAATTCCTTCGGCCGGGAAGGTTATGGCGACTGTCTTTTGGGATTCACAAGGAATAATCTTCATAGACTATCTAGAAAAGGGTAAAACCATTACAGGCGAATATTATTCATCGTTATTGAATCGTTTGAAAACCGAGTTGCTAGAGAAACGTCCACGATTGGCCCACAAAAAAGTCCTCTTCCACCACGACAATGCGCCAGCTCACGCCTCAGCAGTTGTGGCCGAAAAACTGATGGAGATAGGGTTCCAACTAGTTTCACATCCCCCCTATTCTCTAGACTTGGCTCCGTCGGACTACTATTTGTTCCCTAATATGAAAAAATGGCTGGCGGGGAAAAGATTTTATTTAAACGAGGAGGTGATGCAGAAATGAATGCCTATTTTACAGACTTGGACAAATCCTATTATTTGAAAGGGATTAACAAACTAGAGCAGCGTTGGATGAAGTGTATAAGTCTAAAAGAAGACTATGTTGAAAAATAAAAAAGATTTATTAAAAAAAAACAAGAAGTTTTTATTTTTGCACGGACTTTTCAAACGACCCTCGTAAGCATCACTATTAAATAGAATGCTGCCAAAGTTTCAAACAGATCCATCGAGTAGTTTGGTTTTTAACGTCGATCAAAGTGAACAATTTTCGTTTTTTATTAATAATGAAAAAAAGTGGGTTCCAAGCGGTAATAAAACATTTTTACGAGGGGGGGGGGGGTCAATAAGCCTTTACAAAATCCAAGAGATGGCGCTCGTCACGCTTAAATTATGATGTTTTTGGCAAACAATACTACTAACTAGATATCGTACAAAGTTTCAGCTCGATTCATTAAGTCGTTTTTTTGTGAGCGTTGGTTGAACAAAGTTATTGGTTTATTTGAAAAATGGAAAAAAACAGAGTTTCGAGCGGTGATAACACATTTTCTTTTGAAAGGCCTTACACCAAAAGAAATCACAGTTGAGTTGAACGCCGTTCATGGCAAGTCTGCCCCTGTGTTTAAGACTGTTTATAACTGGGTAAGTGAATTTAAACGCGGACCTACAACAACAAAAGATGAACCTCGTTCAGGACGCCCCGTAGAAGTGAGTACGCCCGAAATGGTCAACAAAATCCACGATATGGTGTTGAGTGATAGAAGATTCAAATTGCGAGAATTAGTTGAGGCCACAGGGGTATAAAAGGGTACAATCATTTCAATTTTACATGAAAAATTAGGGATGAAAAATATATCAGCAAGATGGGTGTCGCGTTTGCTCACTGTTGAAAACAAACGAACCCGCGTGATCACCTCTGAGGCTCTTTTGGCACGCATACGTCGTAATCCGAAAGACTTTTGGCGTCAACTCGTAACTGTAGACGAAACATGGGTACACCACTACACTTCTGAAACCAAAGAATAGTCCAAAGAATGGATTACCGCAGGAGAACTTGTCCTAAAGAAGGCAAAGACAGTTAAGTCAGCTGGCAATATTATGGCCACGGTTTTCTGGAATGCGTATGGAATCATCTACATCGACTACTTAGAAAAGGGCCAGACGATCACTGGACAATATTATGCGTCATTATTAGGTTAGCTGAAAGAAATAATCAGAGAAAAACGTCCTCACTTGAACAAAAACAATGCCTCTTTCTTCAAGACAATGCTCGAGTTCACACGTATGCAGTATCGATGGCAAAAATTAGCGATTTAAAGTTCGAATTAATTGACCATCCACCATATTCGCCTGATTTGGCTCCCAGTGACTTTTTCTTATTTCCTAACCTGAAAAAATGGCTTGCCGGACAACAATTCACGTCGAATAAAGAAGTCATCGCCGAAATAAATGCCTATTTTGAGGGTTTTCAGAAATCATATTTTTCTGATGGCTTAAAAAAACTGGAAGGCCGTTTAATAAAATGTATCGACCTTCAAGGAGATTATGTTGAAAAATAAAGAAAAATTACATATGCAAAACTTTTTTTTTCCTTCTTTTTATAAAGACTTATTGACCCCCCCTCGTATATTCAAATGGCTAAGGTCACTGATTACAATTAAACATGAATAATAATTCAATGAACAAATAAATTTGAATGATTTAACGACTTACCCAGCACATGTAGCCGAATACTTTTGACGAAAACTGAATATATGGCGATTTATTTTTTCAAAAAATTCAAATTTATGATGTGTACGAGGTTTTTTTAAAGGAATCAAAGAAACAACACCGACGTCAACATCCGGTTTAGGAACAAATGCACTAGCTGCAAAAATTATATAGATTAATGACTGAAAAAAAAAAAATAAAAATTATGTATACATGTAATTAAAAATCATCCTTCTTAAAATTGATAAATGTATTAAGATTTAAAAAGAGTACACAAAGGGGGTTCAACAGTGTAAAGTTCAAATTTTCTTTGAGAATACAGTTCATTCGTAGAAAAATTCATTTAAAATGTAGATCGAGATGAATATTTTTATGATTTCAATTATTCTTTTTGAATTAAAAATCATTTCAATTCATATTAATTATAAAATCTTTAAGCTTATTGATCAAAATTTTAGTAAACAAAATCGACTGCATGACATCAGATTAAGTTAAATAACACTGATCAATAAGGATTTATCACAAAAATAATAGGAATAGATCCTGAAGGTTTTCGAAATATCCTAACCTTAAAGTAAAAAAAACTGCTTTTCTTCATATTTAAATTTATATTACATCACGAATTAATTTTTTTTCTTGAAAACGGGTTCTGCATTTTGAAAGTATCGTTCTTACGCTTCAAAACCCTTTGTTAATTTTTGAAAAATCTTTTATTTCTTCTAAGATATCGTAAATTGAAGTTTAATATTTTTTCAATTTCGTTGCCGTCTTGTAATGCATGAGATTTTCCCAGAAAGTAGATAATGTTAACTCTTCCTTATTTGGGTGGCTTAATGCGAATTCCACGACAGAATTCTACCATATCCTTAAACTTTTTATGATTTCTAAACCTAGAATTGCGGAAAACACTTTTGATGATCTTTTGATTGGTTATGAGTTATACATTATAGATTCCAACATAAGTACAAATATATGCACTGTTACTACCGAGAGCTAAGTCCACGACAGGTTCACCTAAACTCGCTCTAACGAATAAACGTTAAACCAGAGACAGATTAACCTAAATGCGCTGTAAACCACAAAAATTAAATTCCAGACAAGTTAACGTAGGCTCGCTGTAACTTGCGAGGGTTAAGCCCACGATAGATTAATCTAACTACGCTGCAGCTGCGGGTGCTGCATTATGAATAAAGGGAAAAAGTTTAAGGATATGGTAGAATTCTGTTGTGGAATCCGCATTAAGCCCCCCAAATACGGAAGAGTTTACATTATCTACTTTACGGAAAAAATCTCATGTATTACAAGACGGCAACGAAATTTAAAAAATACTAAACTTCAATTTACGATATCTTTGAAGAAATAAAAGATTTTCGAAAAATTAACAGAATTTTGAAGAGTAAGAATAATACTTTCAAATGACAGAACCTGTTTTCAACAAAAAAAAAGTGATTTCATGATTACATATAAACTCAAACATAATGAAAAACAATGTTTTGTTTTCACTTTTAGTTTAGGATATCTCAAAAATCTCGAAATAAATTAAAAATTGAATATCTTGCGTTTTTATAAATGCAAAAACAAGGAAACCAAGCATCTCTGAGTAACATAGTATGAGTAGGACAAATTTACTCCCGTTCACGTTTGTATCAACCACCAGAAATGCCTGTACAAAGAAAAACCAATTTTGTCAGTGCCTTATGAGAATTAAGTTCATAAATTCGGTCATAAAATTGCGAGGATGGATTAATAATAAGCCCGCTTATTCGAAGATAAGTAACGTTGCTAAGAGAAGTAAACATTCCGATCATACATTGTCAACTTTCAAAAAACGTTATACCAAATTTTAAAGTGATTTATAAGTTAGTTACGATTTGACAATTGACTAAACGTGTTTGATATTTTTTGATATTAATATTAATCCATAACTCTCTCTTTATTTTTAAACGGTAAAGTATGTGGAGAAATGAACATAAAATTGAATGCTGTTTATACAGATATTTTATCATCTATGACAACCTTGTGATATTAGTGCAACTTTAACCCTTTAACGATAAAAAACGTCATTTGTGAGCATCTTTTTGATCGCAAAATTCATTCGTAAAACAGAACAAAAAAATTGATCTGAGATAATGTTTTTTATGTATTTGGGTGTGCTGAATTTAATCGGGTATATTCCTAATTTTTTTTCCCAATTTTTCCAAATTTTTCCCAAAAACTATTTAATGACATCGCGGTTGAAGTCGATAAAATATATCTTGGTTTTCCAATCGTTAAATTATTCAAATACAGCATCCTGGAATCGCGAGGTTTCCTGAACAATTTATTTCTTTATCTATACTTGCAATGCTACAAAAAAGATCGAGGCGTGCTGTTTCTCCTGATCCTGAAAGTGATACTGAAGCATTGTAACGGGGATTTAGGCTACCCCGTTAAGGGTGATGCTGTGTAACTGCTCGACTTGCGGGTAACTCGTGCGGGGAACGCGCGGGATTCAGCCCAGCGGCTCAGACATGCCCCTCGAAGGCGTCCTGGCCTTCGGCCCGCGGAGAGCGTCGTAGATCAGGTAGCAGCGGACGGTATAAGCCGGCGTGCGCGTAACGCGGGAGGGAGGAAGTGCCGTGAGGAAAGACGCAGTAATTAACAGAATGGTTATTTATTAATATTAAGATAACAAAGAAAGCATACAAATAGCAGTCGCAGCGAGAGAGGCAAGTGGGAAGCAAGCGAGAGAGAGAGTCTTGAAATCGAACGGGCACTTACATGGCAAGCTCGATGTGGCGTCGGCTTTAAACTCGACACGCGCAGGTGTCCGGCCTCGAGGCAGATCTCTCGTGCTGAACGGGTGAGATCGGCAAACACACACTCATGCACGCACCCAGGATCGCACGAACGCTTCGTCCTTTTTTTTTTTGGTGGCAGAACCCAGGCTGTGTAGCACCAAGCACTACTTTTTCTCGCGTCAATCGCCAAACTTGCTTCCTCTTGCCAAGGCGGGCTGTCGCTCCTTACTGGCACGCGGACGTGATCCCCTCCCTCGCGCTAGCTAACCGGCAGCGGCGCGTCTCAGCCAATTAACTATGTGCGCGACACTCCGGCGTCCACGCTTACACGCGTACACGCGGGTCTCTCTCTCTCTCTCTCTCTCTCTCTCTCCTCGGTGCTCCCTGATTTACCTCGTGCCGCGTCCGCAGCTATGGCAAGACAAAAATACATAAGGAAAAGGATACATGGGTTATCAACGAATTATAATTAACTTAAGGGAGGAGAGAGATATAACGAGCCTCAGCCATGCACAAGGTGCGGCCCTCAAAATCCTTGCCGCTGCCCGTGGCCACCGGCGCTTTTACCCGATCGGAACCTGGGGTGAATTCCCCCTGAGAAAGGGTTACCACTTGAGGTAAATCAATGTTTTCTTTGTGCATTTTCCATAGTTTTCTGTCCCGTTATGCTAGAGGTCCCTCGTGGTCGCGACTCCACGAACCGCGCTGGGACAACGCACGGCCCCTGAGGTCCCCCTCCCCCCTGTGTGTTCAGTGTTCCCCCCTGTGATGTGTGCGTGTATGTAAGTGCCCATGGGCAAAACCGGGCTTCGTTCACAGGGAGAGCCCGTTTAGAGAGATCCCCTTCACTCGCTTTCGGGCGGCTCTGTTTATAGGAGTACCCTACCATTCGCTTTTCGGTAAGGCCCGTTTATAGGGTCGCCGTGCATTCACTTTCCCGGTTTGCCAGAAGGCGTGTGTGTGTGAGTGTTTGCGTAGTGTGCGTGTGTGTATGTGTATAAGTGATTAATGGTTGGACACATCGGCAGAATACCATTATCTTTTGCGTCATTTGTGAGCCATATCTTCTTCTTGGCCGTGTCCGTTATGGCGTTGCTGCTCAGAGCAATGACGCGACGGACATCGTTTCCACCGGGCACGTCGCGGACGTTGGAAGCTAGCATTTGCCCAGTGAGGTGTTACCACTCACTGGACCAGCCCGGCATTATTATTATTATTATTATTATTATTATTATTATTATTATTATTATTATTATTATTATTATTATACTACGGATATAGTACGGAAAATACGGACGGCGATCGACCCGAAGGAGAGCCACGTGCAGGCGCCGGGCTGGTCCAGTGAGTGGTTACACCTCACTGGGCAAATGCTAGCTTCCAACGTTCATGAGCGTACCCGGTGGAAACATCGTCCGTCGCGTCAATTGCTCACAAATGACGGAAAAGATAATGGTATTCTGCCGATGTGCCCAACCATTAATCACTTACACACACCTACACTCACACATTACACAAACACTTACACACATACGCTTCTTGAAAAATCGGGATGAATGAATGCTCGGCGACCCTATAAACGGGGCTTACCGAAAGAGCGAATGCCGGGGACCCCTATAAACGGAGCCGCCCGAAAGCTAATGAAGGGGATTCCTCTAATCGGGCTCTCCCCGTGAACGAAGCCCGGTTTTTCCACTATGGGCACTCATAATCACGCACACTCTACAGGGGGAACACTGAACACACAGGGTAGAGGAGGGGGGACCTCAGGGAACGTACGGTGTTCTAGCGCGGTTCGTGGAGTCGCGACCATGAGGGACCTTTAGCACAATGGGACGAAACAAAAATATGAACATACACAAAAAAAACATAGGTTTACCTCAAGTGGTAACCCTTTCTCAGGGGGAATTCACCCGGGGTTCCGATCGGATGAAAGCCCCGGTGGCCATGGGCAGCGGGACGGATTTTGAGGACCGCACTTTGTGCAGAGGAGGACAACACGAAACCACGACACGAAACAAAGCCTACTGAACCTACCAAGACGACAGAGGACGGATAGCGTGTCGAGCGGCGGCAGCGAGGTGAGCTACGCCTCTGCCGCTGACAGCCAAGAACCGACGACAGGACGAACATCCACAATGACAAACGACACACAAGACGTGATGGAACTCCTGTGGCTCATACAAGAGACGGCGACGAAAATGGTCGAATCAGCAAACGTACAAAAGAACATGAACTTGACAGTGAAGATGGGAATTAAGACAATTATCGAGACTGTGGACATTGCGCTGCACAAGCGATCGGACACAGTTTCGGGAGGACGTCCCCAAGATAACAACAATACAGGCACGATATCGGAAAATAACGAAGAAACGCC